CAACAATAAAAAATTTCATTTGCCTTTTTATCATTCATCTACAAGCAAGAGCCTATACCTGCATGTTAATTTCAAACTTCCTCAACAATTTATTTGCCAAACCTAAAAGGTCGTTCTCATTAAGCATTAAAGTTACAAACACTGACAGCTGCTAATTCATAAATGGAAGTCACTCGGTCACATTGAAAGATACATAAGATCAAGAACTATATGATTTCTCAACAGTTGAAATCTACAATATCAAGAACATGTCCACCAGAAGGAAGTCCTAACCATGATGTCATATCTCAGCTCCGTTTGTTGACAGTCTAACAAAAATATGTAAATCATAAATATATGAAAACAAGAGAACATTATAAGATATGCTAATTTTATTCATTCTCTTGCATTTTGGAATCCTAAACTCCTAAACTGATGATATATTAGACTACGGACACATTCGTAACAAGAACTAGAATTGTAGGAGAAAGAGAATAAGAGGAGTGGGAAGAGAAATAGAGGGGAAAAGATAGAAGAGATGGACAAAGAGAGATTCAATGGTCAAAGTGTGTGTTACAATGAAAAGCCTACCCATGCTTATAGTTGAACTTCGAGTAAATAAGGAAAACTACTAAACTAAAATAAGGAAATAAAAAATTTCTCAACATAAAATATAAATTCTCTTCCTAAACACAAGTGTTGAATCTTGATAAGTCTTCAAGGGAATATCTAAAACGAACTCCACCAATATTGCTTGGTTATATCTGAATGAAAATGTTTTGTACAAGTACATCAATAAAACAGAAAACATGAAACAAGGTGAGAAGGAAAAAACAGGTTGAGAAATCTGATGTGCCAACTAATTTGTAATTCAGGAGGTTAAATAAAGAATTTGACAGGAATGGCCAGATATTAAATAGGATCTTCACATATATAGTATTCGCTGAAAAATGACAGTAGAGCGACCAAGTTCACATGAAGCAACCACCAATACTAACCAAGTCCAACAGCTTGGAACTTGTGATTTTGAGAAATGTTCCTGTGAGTCAACTGTGTCAAGGCAAAGTAAAGTCCAGCAACATCTATAAACCCAATCAAAGCTTTTAACAGTTCCTGAGAGAAAATGAACCATTAGTGTATAAGAATCTTGAATTAATGATTTTTTTATTATTATTATTATTTTTGAATAAACCCCCATTATTTTTCCATCCATAATGTTTATTTCTTTGCGGCAAATATAGCAGATAAAGCGAAATAACAAATGGTCCACCAATTGAAGGCTTCCCCACCCCCTCCCAAGTCACCACACAAAGAAAAATCCAACAAAATATGCCCAACAAACTCCCTGTCATTTCCCTTTTCTTTCCATTTACTTCAAACTTTTTCTTTTAACTAGCAAGGAAATGTTGTAGAATATTTCGATACTTCTAATAGATTTTATGTAAACGAGAGAAGTTGAATGTAATCTAAATAAAAATTTATGCAGTAGAAAGTTAGAAACTTACTGGCCTTCCAGTTGCACACCAAATATTTAATGTGAGCCAATGAGAAAGGACAAAGAGCTACATTCTTTTCAATGTAAAATGTTGTAAAACAAATTATGTGTAAAGATGATAACCTTTGCATGTCAACAAGCAAAGGCATAATGATATCAAAAAATTAGCCAATAAAATAAGGCGCAACATCACAGTGAAGCATATGCCCAAAAGAAATACCTGATATGGATCAAATCTGTCACTTTCCGATGAATTAAGAAATGTTGCGAGACAAATAAGCTGCAAAAGAATAGGCATTGAAAAAGAAGACACAGTTGAGGGAAATGTCTGCTTGAACTGGAAGTGCAATCGAAAATCAATCTAAAAAAAAAAGATACAAAGAAACACACCTTAACTAATGAAGTTATAAGATAAACAGCAGCTGCTTTAATAGAAGTACCTAGAGTGTCATACTCGGATCTGAAGAAGAACACTATTCAGCTCATTTGGTATCTCATATCAAGATGAAATACATAAATGAAGTAATGAACATTCATAATTTTCATAAAATTGAAAACTTGACCAGGGGTTCATTAACTATACATGGCATTTGGATAAATCAAAGCCAATTACATATATAAAGTAACCGAAGATAGTGATACTTTTAGCATCATAAGAAATCACAGAAATTATGCCATCCAATTATCACAGGTCCTGAAATGTATTGCTATATTTTCCACATTGCAAGTAAGAATAATTATTCAAACTAGCAATATTAATTGCACAACAACTTCGACTACAATGACAGGATAACACATTGTTACCATTGATAAAACCTTCACTGAATCATCCTCATATATGCCTTCGCTTAAGGAAAGAACTCCTCGAATCTATTGTCCTTGGATCAAGCCATCTCAAGGAAAGGCAACTCCACTTAGTCAATCTCAGATCAAACCTTTGCCAATGGAAAGAACAACTCCATTCAATCATTCAGGGTTCAAGCCATCACTGAAAGACAACTCCAGTCAATCATCTTCACATTAAGCCTTCACCCAAGAAAAGACAACTCTACTCAACCATCCTTGTATCAGCATGTACCCAAATGTAAAAGCAACTCCACTCAATCATTCCATGATAAAACCTTCATATTCAGACATTCCGACAATCCTTACCAAATCAAGCCTTAAGGGAAAAAAAAAACTCAAATATCTATAACTAAAACATTCACTTACACACCAAAAGAGTATTGGTTTCTAAGCTCAGTCTGGAACACCTAATGACGGTAACTATGGGCAATAACAGTGCACCAATCTTAATATATGGAAAAATCAACTAGTAGGAGAATCTAGAGCTAACTAGAGTTTTGTTCCATCCTTTGATAGTCACACGTCTATTTGAGTGAAGTCGTTTAGGTGCAGCCTATGAACTGAAAACCTATTTAAAATTAAGCTTATAGAGACAGAGAAATAATGAAGCTTGGAATTAATTAATAATTAAAATTAAGAAAAATATGATAGACCAAAATCTAGCAACTCTTTAATCATTCTTGCCAAGCGGCCTCATTCTGGTCCTTGAGTGAGGGGGTATAAAGTGGCGTCTACTAGCACGGGAAGTCTCTATCCAACTGCAAGTTGGTTTCAGCACACGTAGTCATCCCATAAGAAGTTGCTGCTTGGCCGCTCGGTGATGCAGTACTCATCGTCGGTCAAGTGTCCTGTGTAGGCTCAAAGATCCCCCTCCTTTTAAAAGGGAGGTGTCTTTACTCTCTTCAATTTAGCAAGCAACTGAGTGAGTTTCAGTCCTTGGTCTACTGTCTATCGATGCCCTGCCCTCTCTCTTTATTTAGCACTTGAGTCAGGCTCTTATCCTGTCCAGATTGGATCAGTATTCACGTAAACTTTCTTACAATTTAGCTCAATGCTTAGCTCTTTCTTTCAAAGGATCTAAACTTTCAATAATCAATCAACAATAATTATACTTTAGGAACGATTTCTTCCCTTAAAGAAATTATATTCCTTTCTACGCTTTTGTCACCATTAGAACTCAATCTAGATGTTACTATTCCTAATATTATTTGAGGACCTTTTATAACCTAATGAGAGTTAATTATACAAATTTATCTGTATGTATAACCAGTTAATAATGAAACCTGAATTAAATCAATATAAACATTTTTCAAAAGTAAACCAAAGAATCTCTCGACTTCATTAATTGGATTTCAAGTTCATAACAACGTTAAATTAAACATCGTATATTAGTAAAAAAACAGGCACATCTAGCAATTGAAAATTACAATGAGATCCAATACTTGAAAAATATGTAATTAAAAAATTGATCTTACAAAGGGGTGGCTGAATAGTAAACGGCGTGAGGGCCGAACGTCAGAATTGCACAGTTGAAGAAATGAAACATAGTCATCTTCGCCACCGGTGATGTGTGGGTGTGAGAGAGAAGGGAGATCTTGTTCTTAGTCGAATTGGACTCGCGTTAATGGGTTGGACAGTTGGGCTTCTTGCTTTTCAATTCTGGGCTTGAAAAAAATACGAATTAGGAACAATACATAGCCCACACCTGTAAAAATACATTTCAAAATTATCACACTCCCTAAAATATTTTAATCAGTAGTAAATATAATTATTAAATATATAATTATAATATAATATGCATTTATTCTCCATTTGTATCAATTGACATACTGATATTATAATCCTCACCCACTCCAGAAATTTCAAGAAGCTTAAATCCCTCTGTACCCCCGCCCTAACGAACCCCCACCCTACCTCATTGTTGAAAACTCCAACAAATAAAAATGTTTTCCTTCTCTATACATATTTATAGGCACAAATAATTTTACAGGTGGTGATGGTGATGACAATGATGAGGTGGCATTGTGTTCAGAAAATAGATCCGCGTGGTGATGGTGATGGTAATGGTAATGGTGCATTGCAGATGATAAAAGTGCATAGGAGTTGATTTGTTTAATAGTGGTGGTGGGGATGGCGAGGTGCTAGCAACATTTTGAGTATTGTGTGGTGGCAGTAGTGTTGCATTGTAGTTAACGAGAAGTATGACTGTGTTATATAGGACCAGATTTATCGTTTGTGACCATACCTGTGGTATGTGTGTCTGTGACTAGACTGTCTTTGACTAAGTCAGTCTAATTTGTAACTGTATGTAACCAAATCACTAACATGACATGTGTTATATGTGATTAATTGTGACCAAATTTGTATTTAGTGTGATTATCTCTGACCAAATCAGTCTAATTTGTAACTCACTGTTAATCCGATCACAAATAATCACAATCAAAACAAAATTGGTCATACCGATCACAATACACACATATTTGATCACAGAGAGTCACCACAAACAAATCTATACATACCAAAGACCAACACCACAATCTACGACCATTCACTACCATCACTCCAATGCACCACCAATACCCCATTCAACTTAAGTTTACATTCACCTCAAAATCCACAACAACAATACTACACCATCACTTCCACCAACATTTTCGACAAACTCCAACCTCCACTGGCATCACACCATCAACAGAACCACTACCAACAATTTCAGAAAACATAAAACTCGAAAACTATCCACTGAGTTACTATGCCTATGCCTCGACCTATCAACACCACCACCACCACCACTCTTTTGTTCACCGTCGTTATTCGACACCCCACTTCTACTACCTACATTGTCGAAAATAGAGTCATCAATCTCATATATATCTTGAGCACTAAGCTTCTCCATAATTATATAATTAGAAAATAGATCATTCTCCGATTCCATCTTCTCCACACTTTCTACTGGCGCGTCAAACAGATTCGACACCAGATCAAGATCCTCTGATAACCAAAAATTCACCTCAAAATGCGTATCTGATTTAATGAATACTTAGCGAAGAATCTAAATATCTTTAGTGGAATGGATGAAAGTTGTTGAGTGAAAGGCGTGCTGCGAGTCGCTATCAATAGCTCTTATAGGCCGTCGAGGTGGGTGGTTGCCGGAGTGATGATATATGAACAAAGTATAGAGAGAAAGAGGAACGAGTAGAGAGAGAGAGTGTGTGTGTGTGTGGTAGTCGTAGTGGGTGTGGGTGAGGGAGTTAGGGATTGGATGTGGTAGGTTGAGTTATTAGTATTAATATATTTATTTAATATATTATTAAATTAATAATTTGTAAATTGACGCTTGAATTTTAAAGTTAGCCCACTTGTTTATGAAAAATAATCTTTAATTGTAGGGTTCTAGATAATTTTCTCTATGAATTACTTGGGAATATTACTTTTTTAAGGGATAAAATTTATATATTAGGTTTAAGTATAGGCCAATTCAGTTTTAAGAGAACGAGTTTACAAATTCAAAACACGGGTGGTAATAAATAAATATTATATATAAATAAATCTTGACCCACTCCAATCTCTCTCCAATCCTAGTCATCAACATCCACCCGCGCCATCCTTTCTCACAATCACCGGCATCCACTCTCACCATCATCCATCCATCACCGACATCCACCCATCAGCATCTACTATCATAGTCATCGACATCCATTGTTGTCATTTCCTCTCATAGTCATCGGCATATAAACTGTTACCTATGATGTTCAATTTGAACTTCAATTGACGTATTTTTGGCTGAATAGAATTGATGGATTATCTAATTGAACTTCAATGATGGATTTTTGACGGTGTGATTTAAACTACATGTAAACTGCTACATGTATGTTGATCTACTATTTTTGTGACCAGTTCTCTTGGATCTATGACTTTTGGACATTGATTTGTTATCCGTTATATTGATCCAATGGCCCGTGACAAATTCTCTTAGATGTATAACCTATAGGTATTGACCAATAACTATACAATAAGACATGTGATCAATGAAGTGTGACCTCTGATCATAAATCAGTGACATGTGACCAATTTTAATTAATCTGTGACTTGTGTACATTAATATGTGACCTACGCACAGTGACCTGGGAACAAATTGAGAGCCACCATGACCTCACCAACACCGGCACCACAATGTGAAAACCACCAACAACCACTTTCACCATCGACACGAAAACCACTATCGCGACATACCTCACATAGAGGTGGCAATCGAGCCGAGCGGCTTGTAAAAAATGGGCTCGTGAGTCGCTCGGGCTTGTCTTTTGACAAGCCCGAACCCTAGTCTAGCGAGCCGTATGCTCGACTTGTTTTATACACGAGCGCTCGTGAGCCAGGCTCGTGGGCTCGTTAAAATGCGCTCGTGGCTCGCCTTAAATGTTCAGTGACCGAAACGGTCACTGAATTAATTTTTTTTTCAATTCAATTTTTTCTCCATAAATACCCTTCACTTAGTCCATTTTTTTCCACCATACGCTCATCCTCTACTCTCCAATCTCTTAATTCTCTTCTACATTCTACACTATTGAGTTATAATCTTGATTTTATAATCTATTTTTTATACTATTACATAGTCTACATTCATTTCTCAATTCTACTTCAACATTCAATTTTAATTATTTAATATCAATTATCCAACTACAAATTTTCAATTACAATCTTACACGTCAATTTTATTTCAATTCTTGATTTTTTAGTTGTTACTTACTATATCAATTCATAAATGGATCCACACTCATTTGTTGAAGGCTTGTTCGGTATCGAAGGCGAATTACCTATCATGCCTCAAAGTCAATATCAAAATTAATTTGCCGGTCTAAATGAAGTATCTATTCTTGAAATCTCGATGCTCATGGAAGTAGTAATCCAATTTATTTGGATGACGTTGATGTTTTCGAGGCGAAATGGGATGATGAAGTTCCAGAATTTGATATTTCTGATGAAAAAGGGAAGAGAAAGGGGAAACAGCAAGCAAAATGTTGCGATCAATTTAAATTGATTCAAACTGGTCGTGTGGTCGATGGAATTCCAGAATCTAAAGCAGTATGTAAATACTGTCAACAACGAATGGTATGGCAAAAAGTTATTGGAACCACCCACCTCAACCGTCACTACAAAGTATGTGCGGCCAAATATGAGCTTCTTCCTGCTGGTCAAACTCAACTACGGTTTTCAAATTTAGTCCTGGTACCGGTTCTACTACTATACAAATTTCTAAGTGGATGTATTCGGAGGAGAAAGTTTGAACGAGAATGGTGAAGTTCGTTGTTGCTGTTGAGTTGCCTCTAGCAATAGCGGACATCCAACATTTCGTCTCCTACGTGAAAGAATATCTTCAACAGAGGTATGTTGGAGTAAGTCGAAATACTCTTCGTTCTGATACAATAGAATATTTCCTTCATTTAAAAAAACTATTAATTGCCGATTTAGAAAAATATGAGAGTGTTATATCTTTGACTTCGGATATATGGGAATTGATTAATAAAAGAGGTTATATAGCTACAACTGTACACTACATAGACCCACTTTGGTGTATGTATAAAAAGATTATTGCTTTTAAAATTATTGAGGTCCCTCACAACGCTAATAACATATTTAATACTATTATGAACATTATTAGAGAATATCATTACGAGAGTAAAATTCGTTCATTTACGTTCGACAACGCTACTGGTAATAAGGTGGTTATTGATAAATTGTGCAGAGTACTGCAGCCTGATTTCGGTGGCTATTTGTTTCATATTCGATGTGTATGCTATATTTTTAATTTAATACTACAAGACAATTTAAAACATATTAAGAATGAAATTCAAAGAATTAGGGATGCACTAGTGTATATCACGATTTCACTTAACAGAAAACAAGTATTTGAGGAATTTTGTGCCTAATCTCGGGTGACACATACGAAAACATTTATTAATGATGTAGGGTATAGATGAAACTCAACTTACTTATTATAAAAATCATGCGAAGGTTTTGAACATTTAATGACCGAATTTTATAACAATAGGCATATTAGAAACGATGACGATATTATTTTGAATGACTTCGATTTGATGTTAACTTTTAAAATAAAAAATTTTTAACAAGTTTTTATGATTCTACAAATATTTTGTTTGAATTTTATTATCCCACTAGTTGTATGGTTCTTGAACGTCTTTATATAATTGCTAGGGTTTTTCATAAATATAAAAATGACCTCGATTTTAGTTCGATTATATATTCCATGGAAATAAAGTTTAGAAAATATTGGGAAGACTTGCCTATGTTATTTCAGTTAGCATGCATCATGGACCCCGATATAATTTATCGGGTACTAAATTTATAATTGATCATATCATTTATAGGAATTTAGAACAAAATTTAAGTGAAATGTATGAACTATATGTTGAACGAATGGGTACAAATATCAATCAGGTACCCTCTGGCTCTATACTTCCTCATCCTATTGATATACCAGAAGATGACGCTGAAGTTTAAACTTTATTCGAAAGCATTAACTCATATAGATATGATTCAAATACATGTGGCTCATTTAGTAGTAGTTTGTCTACCGCATGTAATCAAACATCAAATACAAGTCCCAATTCGTTGCTTGCTGAATTAATTGATTACTTTAATCATAATAAGCCGAATAACAAAACAATTAAGAAAAGTTTAGAAGAAGTAATTGAATTCTAGCGAAGTTACGAATGCCGATGGCCAGTGGTTTCTGTGATGACAAAAGACCTACTAATATCCCCAGTTAGCACTGTAGTTTCGGAGTCTGCTTTTAGTACAGGTAAGAGGGTTCTTTTCGAGGTCAGGAGCCGACTGAAAGAAGATATTTTGAAAGCATTAATGTACGTGAATGACTGGTAAGACGGTCATTTTCGATTGCAAGATAAATATGCCGAAATTGCATCTCGTCAAGTAAATGATATTTAATTTAACCATATTCATAAAAAAAAATTTATAATACCTTCATAATTTTTTTTAAAAATTGTACACGTAACAAGTTGTTCGTGTATAATTTTTAACTCTACATACTCGAAATTGAAGTAGTAGCTCCCAAACCCGGATAAAGGAGGAGTGTTTATCTTTAAAAAAAAAGTTTATCTAAAAAAAGGTTTACAAAGGTATATCTAAAAAAAATGTTTAGGAAATGTATATCTTTTTTTTAAAGGTTTAGAAAATATAAAGTATAGCTTTTAAAAAAAAAAATTTGACCTCGGGAGCCCAGCTCTTGCATATACTGGCCGAGCCAAGTCACTAACCTCACAGCACCACCACCACACAACATAGAACCAACATGCCACTGCAACTGCACAACATAGAAGCAACCACCATCGCACAACACAGAACCACCACCGCCACTACAACAGTACACTACAAAATCACCACAACAAAATCAGGAGCACAAAACATATCCTCCAACACTGTTTGCTTAGTTTTTGACAACCCACTTCAGATCGAAAACTCAAATCAACAAACCTAGTGCAACGGTGAACCCAGTTTTGATCGTCGGTGCCCACAGCATCACAAAGTGGAAATCTTGGCGCCTGCACAAAGCAACGAACTGATCGTTGCTTTGCACAGCGCTAAGAGCATCGCTATAAGCTGGCAGCGATGCTCATGCTACTGCCACTCGAGGCATCATTGCTGCATGCTACGATCGTGTGCAGTGATGTTGCTATATTGCATGTGGCAATCATGTGTCGTTCCCGCTAGCCTGCTTTTAAATATGGCAATTCAAAAATCAGATATAAGGTTTGCATGACCAAAAATCAGGTGTAATTCAACTCTCATCCCAAACCCTAAAAACCACATGCAATATAGCAACGATAAAGGCCCAAATTATGAAGCCAAGGCAGTGTTCGGAGGGACATCATCAAAACCCATCCCCTACTTTTCATTTTGGCATCATCCCTGAATACATCCTCAAAACCAGACACCACTGTCTCAAAAGGTTTTTGGATTAAGTTTTGAGCACTGTTAATTTGATTAATGGTTAAATTTCTAGTCTTTTCTGACGAGCCCTTCACTCACTCACCTTACCTGAATTTGGTCACCCTTCTCCTCTTCTTCTTCAGTAGGTGGTGGTGTAAGTGGGTTCTCACTATGGGATTGAGGTGGTGGTGGTGATGTTAGTGGGTTCTTGTTGTGGCTGTGATTGTAGCTGTAGCGATGGTGTTTCGATTTCTTTCGCTGGGGAAATCGTCATAATGGGTGGGCTATGGTGTGTTAGTGGGTTCAATCTTTTGCTCTATTTTAGTGGTGGGAGTTTGTTGTGCAGTGGCTGTTGTGGATTTTTTACCGACAACGACGATGATGCTGACATTGGGTGGGTGTAGTGGCATCGACCGCTACTTCTACTGTTGGTGATTTTGGGGTAAAGGTTGCGGAAGATGGAAAAAATGGTTGGTGGTTTTTGGCTTTTAAACTTAATTATTAATATATTATAAATGTGGTTTTTGTTGAAAAAAAATGTAAAGTTACAATTTTATTATTTTAGAATTAGTCAAAATTATGGTCAATGTTAATTATTTGGTTAACTAACGGTCAAGCTAACAGTTTCCTTTCATTTGGACTTCAATTGTGACATTTTGAAATGTTTGATACCGTGAGCGAAACAAATGAAAGGTTTGGACAAAATCTGATACTAAATGAAATATTTGGTACTGTGGCTGCAATTTTTCCAAAAAAATATTGAATGTGATGAAATTCAAAATTTAATATGTAAGCACAAAAAGACGCACACATACATACTTTAAAGATGAAACATTAATGTACAAACATTGACTTCAAAATTTAATATCTTGAAAGATT